AACGCTTTGAGTTTGCCTCCGCAGTCGCCGTGAAAAAGGTTCGACTTACCGGTAGTTCTTGTCTTCACTTAAGTGCTGATCCTGTAACAACAGAGTTCATGCGTACCTGTGTGAGCGAGGCACGACCATAAATTCCACGGACCGTCCTCGAATTCCCCGCATCTGAAACTGAAGCCCAGCTTCAACTCAAGCAGTCCCACAGAAGATGCAAGCAAGACGCGGGTTTTGAATCTTCTTCACTCTGATCCAGGCAGGATGGCACAGTCCCCCTTTAACTCGCTGCGACCATATGGGCAACTGACCCGCAATCGAGTTTTGCATGGTCATGGCTCTGCAGCGAGAGGACGGGGGCATGAACATGCAAAGATATGTGGACTTGAGGCTTTGGAGTGATCCAGGGCGAGGACAAGAAAAAGTTCAAGACCAGGCGCCCGCCAGTCCGAGCTTTGTGCTGATCTATCGTCAAGCGGATGGAAGTAGATGTCGAAAAGTTTGATTAGGTCAGGTGAGACCGTCAAACTCAGCGACTTGCTGGATGAGGCGCGTAATCACGCTGACATAGTGGCCTCACACATGCAAGGGTTAGCTGCCAGGCCGTGCAGCGTGCAAGCCAGGACACCATTTCTGGAATGCAATTCGGGCAGGGCCTGTCGATAACAAAATGTTTTGCAAACACCATGCCTTGCTAGGAAATCAAAAGCCGAGTTGAAGAGCAGCAGAAGAATGGCGGCGAAGCTTTCCTCACAGATCCCAAGGACTTAATCATGAGCATGCGTGAGTGGCAAGGGCAGCTAGTGTTCGTCGGTCTTCGGTTCAGGAGCAGGAGGATGCCGCTGAAAAAATTGGAATGGCAGCCGTGCGATATTTCGACATGAAGCAGTTCTTTGCTTGGAAAGTTTGACTAGAATCACATACTTTATCTCTGCAGTGCTCGTTACGCCAACTGCTGAATGTGGACTTCAAATTGACCATGGGCTGCAGGAACCGCACAACGAACTATGTGTTTAATTGGGACCGCATGCTTGATGCTAAGGCCGGCAAGTTACCACTGGGCACCAGCAGTTTAGATTCTTCTCCGCCAGGGCAATTCAGCCGTCTTCTTGTTCTATGCCTACGCAAGGATTCGAGCCTGGGAATCCCAGTCCGGCTGCCTGCACTCGATGCAAAACAAGCTCGCCACGATTGTTCACCAATCAGGGGCTAGCGGCTATTCTGGATTCAAATACAAGCATGCTGCGTCACGCTAAGTCCATCCAGCGCAAGTCCGGCACCGACGCGAACAGCATCCCCTCCACCTGTCTCGAGGTTACTCTAACTAAGTGGGGAAGGTATGCATGCGAGCCACTGGGAACGGCTTGGCGACCGTAAATACACGAGACATGTCTGGGCATCTTGTCAGTTAAAACATCCTGCAGAACGGGATCTTGCGCCGGAGCCTTACAGCATGATTGGAAACTAGACCCGGCTTTCATGTGCGTGTCATAAACCTGCAGAGCTGAGCTGTGCTGAGCTGGATTGCCATCCATGAGGAACTGCCGGATCTGCCAGGCTTATCCGGGCATATCCGGGCGTCCCAGAGAGGTCTTACACAAAGCCAGGGCCAGGCATGATCCGGCATGCCCGGCCCCTGCCGCGGAAAGGAGAAAGGAGAGGGTGACCAGTCCCAGGGACCATGGCACCATGCAAGTGACATGATTTGCAAAGCTCAGGCGAAGTCTCCCAGCCAGCCTGCAACAGAAACTTGAGTCTGGGATAAAGCCAAGCTCGGTGGTGAATGTTCGTTGTTCGAGGGTCAAAGTGTCCCGGATACAGGCAGACAATCACCGAGTCTAGCACAAAAGGATTCTCCAGACGTGTTGAGCACGAATCATGTGACTCAGAAAGCGCTCACTTGACAAAACGGACGTTTCAACTGCAGAGAGCGCCTGAGAACATGTGGCATGGAAGAACATAGCAAGAATGAGCGCATGCGTAGGATGTGCCACCGTGTGCAACCTCTAGATACTAGCCTGACTGCGCCATGGGCGTTTGCCCGGAATATCCGCTATCTTGCTTGGTTTACAAGAGCATACGGTTAATTACTTGAGCATCCATGCCCGAACCGTATCATTCCGTCCGTGTTCCTAGACATACGGTTCCGCGAGCACCCAAACCATAATTCCGTTCGTGTTCCAAGAGCATACGTTTACGAGAGCATCCATGACCAGACCATCATTGCGTTCGTGTTTCAAGAGCATACGGTTACGAGATGTTACGAGAGCATCCATGCCCAAGCCATAATTCCGTTCGTGTTCCAAGAGCACACGATTATGAGAGCATCCGTGCCCAAACCATAGTTTCGTTCGTGTTCCAAGAGCATACGGTTACCAGGGCATCCATGCCCAAACCATAATTCCGTTCGTGTTCCAAGAGCATACGGTTACGAGTGTGCGCAATCTAGAAGTCTGTGCTTGCAGGGACAAGCTTGAAGAATGTGCATATTTTCCTTCGCAAACATGGTAGCACAATGAGAACGCTTACCTTACATGCTGGGGCCATGCTCTACGGGAAGGGAAATTCGCTCGTTCGTTCAGGACCTCCAGCCGAACACAGTTCCGGATAGCACGAACCACTGCGCATAGTGCTGAAAACAAGCGACATGCGAAGAATTCGCGCTTGTTCATTCCCTTGAACCGTTATACATCAAGGATAGCTTTAAGGTAAAAAGCCCTAAAACCAGAAGTTGGGGCCATCCACAATGGGAGTGAAAAACGCGTATTCCGTCACAACGCAATGTCCTGCGAAGAGCACGAAACACTTCTGAAAACACGCATGCCAACTTTACAGCCTGACATGACCAGCAATTTGCATGCTACAAAGCCGACGTAAAAAGTCAGGATTTTTCAGCCCGACTCTCAATCCTTAAAAGCTTCAAAACATTGCAAAACGTGGCTTATTCGCACATGTGACCGAATCGCGTCCGGGCAAACGCCTAGGGGGTGCCTTAGTAACTGTGTCGGCAACCATTGGGAAAGGTGCCGTCGACAACATGCCTGCTCAAATTGTTTGCCTTCTTCTTGCCGCTGGCATCCCGTGTTGTCTGAATGGGACTTGTGGATGCGCCAAGGGGTGGGAGCTTTCACGTGGCAAAGGGTTCCTCAAGTTCCGCTGATGGGCAGCGCCGAGGTTGAAGCTTCTGCAGTTCCCCGAAGTCATCGAGGCACACGTTCGTGCATTCAGCATGCTTTGTCAATGCTCCAGCACTTGAGCATAGGCAATTCTCGCTGATCTTCATCTGCACCACCTCACGGACTACTTGTGGGAGCTTCTAGGAAGCATGGTCAGAGTCTGTTGTGGGAATTACATGAAGCTCGCGGCCCACGTTGCCCATTGTGCGCAGAAAATGACGTTGTCCATCCATCGCAGGCTGTGCAACACCCTCACTGGATTCTACATGAACTGCAAAGTGGCTCCCTCCAGCGCTGCTGTTGCTGACGGGACTTGGTTTTCAGAGTGATGCTGTCAGAGGTCTTGGGCGAAGCAGCGCAGTCGAGCCGACTGCTCCTGTGCGAGGCCACCAGAAAGGCAAGAGAATGCCATGCATGCCAGCATGCTAGCATTAAGCTAGCATGTTACACGTGGGCTATTTTTCGAGACCACACAGATGCAGAGCAGAGCCTGGCAAGTCTCTTTGTGGCAGGTTCTCCTGAAAAGCTTCCAGCTTCTCGGATTCACGCCGCTGGACAAGATTTGAGCTGAGGCAATCGCGCAGTCCGAATGCAAGTCCACTGCATCATGGACGTCGCGTGTACAGAGCGATGAGTTCTCAAGCTCAACAGAAAGTGCATAATGCGCGTGTTTGGCAGCATCTGGGTTGCAAAGGTAGGGGGTAACAGGCTTAAGCTGCTAGCTAGACGGTCCTTCCGTTGTACTTCGTGTTGTTGCTTCTGGAGACGTTTTGTTGATTGAAAGAGGGTGCATGTTCTTGCTTATCATTTCCTTGATGTTGCTTGCGTCGTATTGCTGCAAATCTTCGTTCAAGATGTTAAGCTGTATGCTGAGCCTTTCGCAAAGTGGACCCATTCCATGTCACTTTCCTTGAGCCATGACGCAACAGATGCAACACTCACCCACATGACCGCAGCAGGGGAGCCTTAACAATCATTTTGGTAGCTGTCTCTCGCTTGGTCTGGATCCCAGCCATGTGCGACACAGTGTTTGCAGGGCTGACCCTGCTCGGCGCGCCTCGTCAGGATGCAGCTCGAGTGGAAACCTGCCAAGGATCTGGCTGCCTGGCCAGCCTGCAGTGGACTCCTCCAGGAAGCTCAGTCAGTCCATCTACGCCTTCAAGAAGCGCTTGGACAAGGAGAGTCGATCAAAGCAGCTTTGGCTTCTCTAGCCTGTGGGTCTGCGAAGAGAGAGGGAGAGGAAGACAGTGAAGATGAGGAGTTGGCAGAGTTGCGCCTGTTTGTGAATGATGTGATTGCCAAAGCAGCAGCACCATTCCGAGCAGGCAGACTGAAAGCCACAACCACACGAGCTCATTCTAGATCTACTGCATGCCCTGATAAGATCCCAGCACTTGCGGCCACACGTGCTGCTGGGACTGATTTCCAGTCTATTCGCCTTGTCAAGCCATCCACCCGTGATGGTATTTTTGAGACGGATGGCGCAGCAGAGGGTCAGGATTGTCTCTTGCCAGATTTCCAAAACGAGGAGCGCAATAAATGCAGGGATGGTCCAGCGGGCAAGGCCGAGATCACATCTGTAAAAGCAGATGGAGAAGAGGGGCATGCAGGCGACTCCGAGCACATGCCCTTGCACCGGCATTTCCGCCTTTCGCTTCAGCGGTATCTTCAAGAAAGAATGAGTGGGCCACAAGACGAACGTCTGCTGAATCCTGTTGATGCTGCGGTCCATGTTCGCTCAGAGGGAAAGCGCAGATCGAAGAGCCCTGCGGAACGCCAGCTGGAATCATTGGAATCGGGCAATGTAAGCAGAAGATTGCATGAATCTTGCTCCCCCTCGATTCTGTATCGTCCAGGTACTTTGCCTCGTGCAGGTGGTATGCAACAAGCCGAGCTTCCTGTACTTCCGACTGACAAGCCACCGGCGTCGGATACTGACCCCGCGCCATCCGGATATTTGCCTGCAGCAGTTGAAAGAATTCCCCGCGCACAGCGTGCTCTGTGCACCGAAGCGGCGTTGAGGCTGCCGCTGTGCGAGCTGGAGACGGCGACGGTGTCCGAAGTGACAACTCAAGCTTCAAAGTGGCCAGAGACTTTGGTTGCTTCTGCTCTTCGTCCGAACGAGCCCCATAAAGCTGTAGAGGCAGCAGGTTCGGCACACAATCCTTCCGAACCACAGCAAGTTGGCATGTTTTGTAATCCTTCAGGCACCTGCATGCATGCGCAACCTGCCAAACGTGTACAGCCTCCACAAACATGGACGCAAACTTCAAGGACGAATGCCTCAGCCGCCATGCCCTCGCGTGGTCCAGAAAGAATGTGGAACAGCACCAAGCCTGCGGGGACCGCTTGTGTGGACAGCCAATTGCCTTGCCAAGAAGGAGCGCAGCCAGCATCTTTGCAAGCTGCACAGGCCCGGAGTGGGGCTGCCAGCATGACTAGTGCTGCACAAGAGATTTACCAGCCACAACTTAGCTTCAGGTCCACCTCCGCTGTGCAGCAGGCACACAGTAGAGGGCAGTTCAACACATGGCCGGGAAACGACATCCACCACCCTTCTGGAGAAGACTTGCGCCCGCGCGCCTATGCATGTGATGACAGAGCAGCCCTGCACGTGCTGCACTCGCAAGCTGGGATTGCAGAGACAACTGCAGCTGGTGACACACATGCAGCGCGCGGTCATCAAGGTTTGCAGCAGTTGCTGAACGATGTCAGATCTAGCGCGTTCCGCTCCCTCTCACCCTCACTGCCGAGAAAGGAGCCACACCTCGTCTCAGAGATATTGGAGCAAACGATGCAAAGGGAAGACCGAAGCTGTAGCCATCACATCCCTCACCTGTTAGACAGTGCCACGGTGTCGGTAGGCCCTGATGGGCTTGAGTCGCTTTCTGAAGCTGCCCCGATAACGCCACCCGTCAACCTCACACATCATTGCGCAGCAAACGTAGGGGAAAACTCGTTCGTGCCTGAATCATGCAGCCCAGGGGCTGCAGACAATCCACGCACCGAGTTAGCCTCAAAAGCTCAATTGGCAACATCAGTGGAATCTGCTCACCAGAGACGGAGCTCGTTACCCCTAGCTGTGACAGCCCAAAGCCTGAGAAGCCTGAGCACGCAGCACCAAGAAAGCTGCTGCCACACAGCGGCCATAGGCAGGTTGCAGTCCGGCATCAGCCAGCCTGACAATGCCATGTCATCTGTGCACCTCCTCGCCAGCAGGAGCAGGGCGCGAGCAGAATCGAAAGACGGTCTTCCACAGGGTCCAGAGGCTGGAGAGACAAGAGGACTGCTTTCCGGGACAGCGCTTGAGGAGCAAGCAGAAGACACGGCAACGCATGCAACGCAGTGTCAGCAACAAGGCAGCAGCAGTCCCCGCAGCTCACAGATTGATATCGGCAATGTCAGCCTTGGGCCTTGCGTCATGGGCCTGCCGGTGCAATCTGAAGCACTCGCATCTGGCGTGCTATCCAGAGGGCCTATTCAGCCGCAGCTTAGTTGGACATCCGACGTAGCACAAGTTCCGTCTGCCTCGCTCCGATCCACTTCCCCGGCTCCAGCACGGCCTGCACATGCCGGACACGTGACAGGTGTGACGGGAAGCCTGGTGCAGCAAGAAATTGCCAGCTTTCGCGGATCAGGGATTGATGAGCAGTGGTCTTCAAATGATGCGCC